ACCACACATTCCCATATAAAAAAAAAGGAAAAACCACATATTCTCATTTATTGCTTTCTGTTATTTCCTTTTGTTTTCTTTTCCATTCCCTAGTGTACTTTTTAATAGAAAAATCTTTTTTGTTCAAACTATTTGGAGCATACATCTCATTTATAGTACTGTGGGTGTGAAAATTTGAATAACCAATGGCATGAAACACAAAGTCAATAAGTAATTATTCTTATTCTTACTCTGAATGCTTGAGATAGGAAGGGTGAAATGAATTTAATCTTCAGATTTTTGAAGGATACTGATATGTGTAACCTAAAGCTGGTAAGGAACGAGAAATGCCAAACACTTACTCATGAGAGCGTTCCTGAGGTGTCACCATAATGAAACTTCTAAATTTGCCTTGATGCTGTAAGTACTGCTGAAGAACAGGTGAATTTCACTAACAAGGATCAACCTTCAAACACTCATCCTTTCAAAAACACTTCCATTCCTATTCCTACCGCAGCACAACCGCCCCCCCCCCCCCCCACACACTCATCCCATGGTCAACAAAAAGGGGCAGGGAACAAATCCAAAATGAGCAAAGAGGACAAGAAGAAAGAAAATAAAGAAAAACGGGAACAGCCATTCAAAAGAGTTCAGAAGAAGATACCAGAAAAGATTCTTCCAAAGAAAGAAAAGAAGGTACAAAAAGATAAAGTGTTCCCTTAATAGAAAAGTCCAACTTTGAAACAGAAAGAATTGTTCCTTGACTCGAGACCTATAACCATTCCATCTCTAGAACCTCCATCAATCCTTTTCACAAAGATCCTTGATATGGAAGACACTTGCACTTCTTAGAAAAGCAGCGGATAAGCAAGTTTGAAGAATCACATCCAGGAATGGATAGAGAAACACCAAGCCCTGAGTGATAGTGAGACAAAAGATCAGCAACCTTCACTTACCTGGGAACAAATTATTTTACTTGTCACCTATGGAAAGTAGTTCATTCTTTGAAAAGTTTATGATTACTTACTGGCTCAAGTTTATGAAGTTGAGCTATTTTTTTGAAATTGAGCAGCCTCCACTATTTCTGAGTTGTTTGAAGACAACCAACAATTTAGTTTTGGGGTGTTTGATGGGACAAAAATTTGTTCCCATCTAAGCCCATTTTGATTGCAACATGCCATCCGTTCCCTCAACCGATGAGCAATTTTAGCATTAAAAGCACGTGTTTAATATCTTTATGACAAAAACACAGTGGGGAACAGATGATGACGTAATCCTTTGGAAAATATATAAAAGGGAAACGGATTGAGAACATTGAATACACCTGTTTCATTCACTCAATCTCTCTGACCACTTTTCAAGAAACGTTGAAAAGAAGTTTCCATAAAGCATAAGCGGTGCAGCAATTCAGCAAGAGGAAACGTGCGCAACAGAGAATAAAGGGTTCCTATTGGCTAAAGAGGAAAGCAAGGCATGGGGGTGGTCAGAAGGAAAGACAAATATCAAAAATGACTGTCCCATCCAGCCACTTTGCACCCTTCGAAGCACTGTTCACACCGCCTCTATCACGCAGACAAGAAAACAAATCCAAGAGAATTGCAGACTTTGTCATCCACTCTTCGGCTATAAATAGGACGTTCCAGCACGAAGACATCCATCGAATACCTTAAGAAGAGATAACTTAGTTTATTTTTGTAGTTTTTAGTTGTACAATTTTAACTTTAGTTAAGTGACAACACTTCTTCTTCATTCTGTATCACCCACTTGAAACTCCTCACGAGCAACAACTATATTCTCCACTTTTCATTTTGTTGTAATCAGTTTGTTTCCATTTAAATACAAGTGTTATTTCTCTCCTTTCCATTCGTTATCTCTGAACTGAATCTCGGGTCTATGCGATTTCAGTTTGGAATAATTATGTTTAATCTAGTAGCCATGAGCTAAACAATATGTGGAATGGAAAAACTGCAAAGTTCTTAAAGAATTATTTTCAAAACTCTTGTATTACAGCTTTTGTGTTTCTCTGGTTAAGTGGGCTATATTCATTGTGTATCAATGGAAATTGAACATATACTGAGAAAGGAACTTCCATAAGGAAGGGATTTCAGACAGTTTAACCAGAGGGGGAAGATAGTCTTGTGGAAATAAGGCTGTTGGTTGCCTTAGGAATAAGGGACCACCTCGTTCACTTAGAGGTCCTGTACCCAGTACCTGTTGGAGTCAAGGGAGCGATAGGAATATGGAAACTTGTGAGCCATCTAGTCCATGAGCTGAGGAATCAGAGTTGGCAGTAAAGAGATTGGAACAGATACAAAAGTGTTGAGTCTTAAGTAGAGAAAATAGTTGTTTATGGTTCAGTGGATCCGTTCCTTCTGTTATTATTGTTTTAAAACCATCCATACTGTTGTCTCTTAATTATTGTTATTACTTTTATTTTTCTTTACTTTATTCAATCTTGTATCTACAAAACTCCAATGAAAATGGTCGTACCTTCTTCTATGAAGAAGGATTTCATATATAACGACGCGAGGAGCTGTTTGCTGTCAGATTGCACCTACTGCTCTTGAGGAACGTTGTCAAGACAGTAGGGAACGTTTAACCAAACAGGTCAATTACTAACTTTTCTTTTCATTTTCATTCTTTATAAAATAGTATCAGGCATTAATTAGAGTTCTATCCTCGTGGGAACGATAATCTGGGCATTAACACTCCCATTTATTACTTGATGCGTGCACTTGGGTTGAAACTAGGAGAATAACTGTTTTTTCTCTTAGTGAACTGAGGAACGTCTTCATCATAATATATTTTTCACCCAACAGCTTTTGACACAACAGCGTCGGTAAAGATGAAGACTGACTAACACCAATTTCAATAATTTTTAAGAGTAAATACCCTTTTGGGTCCTCAGCAAATTTCACGATGCTCGCTTTAGTCCTTATGAGGGGCTAATATGGGTCTTTTTTTAATTTGTGAGGGACCACGATTTCAACAAAATGGGTCCATTTTGAATTTCTTAGGGACCACAAATAACCTTTTTATTTGCTAGGGACTAAAGCGGGAATCGTAAAATTTTCTGAGGACCAAAAAGGGTATTTACTCAATTTTTAATAGAGTAAATACCTTTTTTGGTCCCTAACAAAAAACACGGTCCCCACTTTAGCCCCTTACAAAAAATAATTAGTCTCGAGGTCCCTAACAAATTCAAAGTGGACCTATTTAGTTGAAATCGTGGTCCCTCACAAATTCAAAAAAGACCCGCATTAGTCCCTCAAAAGGACTAAAATGGGTCCACTTTGAATTTTATAGGGACCAACCGAGTAATTTTTTTTGTAAGGGACTAAAGTGGAGACCGTATTTTTTGTTAGGACCAAAAAGAGTATTTTCTCTTTTTAATATTTTCCACTCAACAAATGCATCTGTGACAAACTCTACATCTTCATCATCATTGATATCGTTACCAACGTAGTATATTGTATCCATATCATGCGATGAATGGATTGGCTGCCCTATAGCCCCAATTTTTGATGAATTCTCTCATTCAGTTCATTTTATGTAGTGCCTACTTTAATTTTCATTATTTTAATTTTTTCCTTCAAATCGGACACCATTGAGACCTTCAAATTGCCTCCCATTGTGGTAAATAACTACAAGATACGTATTTGAACTTGAACTCGTCTTTCACATGAAATTGGGTCTAGGGTTTGGTTCAAATTTTTGAGAAAAAAATAGGAATACGTAGGTGTAATGCCAATGATTTCACAAGATAAGGCCTTTTGAAATGGCAAGATGAAATACAATCTTGATAGCTCAGAATAGAGATGAGAAATGAGAGATATTTGGGGGTATAAAACGTATAAATGACAAAAGAGGCCGAAACTCATTGATATTGGTGTTTTTGGCCTACGAATACTCGGGAATCTGGGTGTGCGCCCAGGTATTTAACTGAATACTCGGGTATTTGGGTATATACACGAGTAAAAACTCAAATTATGTAAGAACACTAATAATCTGTGAAATATACCCGGATAAATGGGTCAGTACTTAGGTAAAAATGTGGTCAATTGTCAAATATGAACATATTGATGTTATGTTTTGTGAATAGGTCAAATTTTTCTAATAGTTTATAAATGGGGACAATATGATAATTTGTTATTAATAAAAGCTATAATGATCAAAAAAAGCCTTTAGGTCAAAGATATTAAAAAGCTGATATTTGTACAAATTAGTTGATCAAATAATTACTGCATGTTTTACTGACATTGAACCCATTTAGCTGACTTAATGTTCAAAAGATCCCCTTATTAGGCATGCCATCCCAGCATTCGTGGAGCATTCTCTTGTCTAATTCTGTGAAAAATTGCTTTAGTAAAGGTTAAGTTTTTCTCTTTATTTTTTTTTGCTCGGAAGACTCAATAAGACATCCATTGGTTTAAATTAGGTTAAATCACTAATAAAGATCAAACAGCTAAGTTTATCTCACATCATAGGACAAAACTAAAATTCCATTTTTCAACTAATAACCATTGGTTTAAGTAACAAAAAACTTATTCTCCTTAATTAAAAAAATAGTGTTGGGAGAACTGTCCCTATATTGATATAATAATATTTAAACCATGTTAGTTATTCTTTACACATATGAGTAATAACAATTTGCTTTGTGTTAACAATTCTAGTGAGAATTATTGACAAATTATCAAAATGCATAAACTGAATGAAGTCTTATTACAATTACAGATAAAATCAAAGTTAATTTTGTCATTTGTTACCGTCTCATAGGTTACCACTCAGCCCAATCCAGAGTCGAAGACGACAACAAGCTCTAATACGCTATTTATGCGTGCCAATAAGGTTCATACAATATAGGCACAAGAAAGATTGAGAAAGAGATACAGAAATGATGACGTGTCAAACAAGAGGCACAGAACATAAATGTGAGGCCCGAAATCGCTACCCTTAAATTCTGTGTGCGTGTGTTTGTTCAAACAAGGCTAGGCTTGGCTTGCACCTTGGCTTACCTTACCTTATCCTATCCACACTCTTTTTGTTTTTCTGTTTTTCTATCTCTCACTATCTCTATTCTCTCCCCCTCTCCCTTTTTTTCTGTGTCCCCTCCCCTCAGCTACACTTTCACTTGGTTCTTAATTCCTCACCCATATTTCTATTCAATTCAATTCCCTTTCTTTTGGTTACCAAAAAAAAAAAAAAAGTACCCTTTCTTTTACCATCATGCCCCTCAAAAACTCTTAGCTACCTTCACTGGTGGTTGTTCTGTTTGTTAACAAAGAAACTTCCAGAATGAAGAGGGGTTTTGTTTATTCGATGAATTCAACTATTGTCTCTTAGTTATTTCCGTCCAAGGAAGAAGCTCTAGTTAAACTATAATTTTCAAATACATAACCGATTCAACCGATTTCTTGGAGTGCAATGGCTCCCAAAACAGGGAAAACCAAACCTCACAAAGCTAAGGGAGACAAGAAGAAAAAAGAAGAGAAAGGTTCATATTCTATATGCTCTCTAGTCTCTACTATAACACTATAATATAATACTCCTTTTTTGTGATTTTAATTGAAAATGGAAACATATGAGTTTCGTGTTTTTGCTCAGTTTTTGGTAGGAACATTTGATTTTTCCTTTTTGTTCATTTCTTTGCTAGCATTACCAGTATAGAGAATTCAATCTTCAACGCTTGATTTACTTGTCTTTGTTCTATCCAAATGCATTGCTATCATCAATCTTCAATTTCATTGGTTCTGGATATTCTCTACCTTATCCTTTGGAAATTGCTCCTAATCCAAATTACATTATCCATTGCAGTTTTGCCCACCGTCATTGAAATTACTGTAGGAACACCAGACGACTCGCATGTTAATCTCAAGGTATTGCAGATTTTATATTAAATATTATAATTTGAATAATGTAAAGGTTAAGTTTCGCATTTCCTCACCGTAGTTATTTTTTTTTATTATAAATTTAATAATAAAAGTTATTTATTTATGAAAATTATATATTAAGTAACAAAACTGATATACGTATAAAAGTTACAAACTTTTCTTATTTAATTTATAATTTTTATGGCTATAATTTTGTTTTTATAATTTTTATTATTCAGATTTTAATTATGAAAAAATAAACCCTTAGCTCTATATCGTGTGAAAAAAATGTCAAATTATATAAAATATGTATGGACTTTCGTTTTATATTCTACGTATTACTTTTTCAATACTAAATTATATATGGACTCACTTTATTCACAATATCACCTAGCTTTTAGTGTTTGCTAATTTTTATTTTCAAAACTTTGTGGAAGTTCTAATTTAGCCATATCTTGTAATTTATTTTAAAATCCATTTTTTTTATTGTTCTCTAATATGATCTGTTTGTATTTGTTGTGGGGGTGAAGGGAATCTCCACGGACAGGATCCTAGATGTGAGAAAGCTTTTAGCTGTCCACGTTGAAACTTGTCATTTGACTAATTTCTCCTTATCTCACGAGGTACGATTCTCTTACTTGTACTTCTGAATTTCTCGTAAATATATATATTTTTTTTGGTGAGCGAATTTCTCGTAACTTTTGCAACGACTTAACAACAAAACATAATAATACGAAAAATATTAAGGTTATACTCATTACTAAAAAATTTTACAACTCTTAATATTAAATTAATCACTGTTGATTTTTATCAATTTAATGATTTTAATTTATTGCGTACACTTATTAATTAATTATTAATTATCAATAAATTATAACCGTTAGATTGACGAAAATCAATAGAGATTAGTTTAATAGCATGAGTTGTAAAACTTTTCAGCAGTAAGTATAACTTTTCCTTTAATAATATACTATTTTAAATATATTTTTTCAATATTCCTTTTTATTATTGGGTGAAATCTCATATTGATCATTGGCTTATTTATTTTGTAGTTTAACCTCTGCTATTTAGAGGAATTAACATGAGATTTCATTCAATCATAAAAAAAATATTAAACAGTATGATGCTATTACTTACTTGATACACTAAATGGTGTTTACATGTAAATGGTGTTTCTACTTGCTAGGCTTTTCCACCACGTATTCGTGATACCAAGAGTTAGGAGGTCATGGGTTTTTACTCCTTAAAACCCGTGTGAAGTTACGCTGTTGCCTTTATGGCTATTATAAACGCGTGAATGACTTTATATTTTGTATTTATTTTTTAATTAGCATTATTTAGGTAAAATTTTAGAGTTTGATATTTATCTTTTTAAAGAATATAGAATTATGTCATTTTAAGTGAAAAAAAAGACACAAGCAATGAAAATCATAGGAGAATAAAGTGAATATTTGTTTTAATTTAAATTTTAAATAAAAAAATTAATTTGTGGCTTTCTCTCACTTAAAATGACACAACTATATGTCCTTTAAAAAGGACAAATATTTTTCCCAAAATTTTATTAAATTTTTTAAAAATAAATTACTTTTTTATATGCTGTGAAATAAATATAAATGTCATAACAAAAAGGTCATTGTAGGCTATTTTTTGAAAATTTTAAAAGATATAGAATAAAATAACTTATAATAGAAGGAATCTTTGAATGAAAAAACAAAAAGTTAAGGAATTTGTTTTTTATTGGGAATTTTTTTTTGTTTTTGCTGCAAAAAAATATTTAGCTGCCACACTCACATAAAATTTAGTGGTTCCATTATAAATAGAAGAGAGAAAAATAAATAATGGAACTCATCTATTTTTATGTGAGAGTGACAGATAAATATTTTCTCCATCAAATACATAAATGTTAAACCGTTTTTTATTTAAAAAAAGTGGAGGAAGTTTTAACCATGTTTGGTGTAATATGAAAATGGATTATCTTATGTTATTTAACATTATCGTGAATCGTAATCATATAAAAGTGAATTAATGTTTATAATTTTATAACTACTTATTCTAATATTTTTTCTCTCTTCTCTTATTACAATTGAATTGATTCATATTTATATAACTAATTTTCACATTATATGATCTTGTTAAATAATAAATAACTTTCCGATGTAAAATAGTATTTTCATAAAACTTCGTAGCTCCTCACTTGGACGGCGCGCCAATACTTTCGGGCTACCCAAATTAACTACCGATAAATGAAAAAAGAAAAGAAAATGGATCCAATTACAGGATAATTTGTTTTTGCAAAAAATTTATTAAATCGAAAATGAACATTTTAAATCAATAACAATATATCATTCATCATGCTAAATAATTCCTAATTAAATTTAGAAAAAAATATTTCTCCTGTCACTATAAATAAAATTATCTCTAATGGATTTAAAATGATATTTTTTTAAGTTATAAGATTAAAAAATTATAATGATAAAATCTAATATAACCCTGTAATATATTAAAACTACAAAAGCACATTAATTTTCATCTCAGAACGATATTATTTTAAGCTCACGGAAATAATTTATTTTTATTTACTAGAAAAATCCTTTACACTTAAATTTAATCCCTAAAAACAAAAAACTTACTTGATCTTACACTTATAATTGAATTTACCGTGGATAAATATTTAATGTAACCATGAAGACGATAACGAACAAAACGGTTTGAACAGGTGCGAGGTGCTAGGCTGAAGGACACAGTGGAAATCGTAACACTGAAGCCGTGCCATCTCTCCATAGTCCAAGGTAACTAACCTGAACCCTCTGTACACGATCCCTGCTCCCTCACACTTCTTTTGTCTTTTTCAGAGGACTACACGGAAGAGCTCGCCGTCGCGCACATTCGGCGACTCCTCGACATTGTCGCCTGCACCACCTCCTTCGGCTCCTCCACAAAACCCGCCGGAAGATCCAGCCCCAAAGACCCGACCAGCACCAAAGACTCCGGCTCGGTCGAGACCGAACCGTGGCAGCAGAGTCCGAGATCAGAAAATGGATCGGAATCAAGCCCGAAACCCAAACCCGGAGATCCGAATTCGGAGTCTGGCAACAGAAAAACCGAGAAGGCGGAGAAAGTGGAAGGTGAAATCTCCTTGTATCCACCACCGAGACTGGGACAGTTCTATGACTTCTTTTCGTTTTCGCACCTTACGCCGCCGTTTCAATGTGAGTGTTTTTTTTTTTATTCTGTCACTTAATCATGCATCATTACTCCTCCATTAAACAAGTGTGACTTTTGAGTAAGTTGCTATGAGTGTTAAAGTCTTTCTTAGTGTTGAAAATCTTTGGGTAAAATTCCTACAACTAAGCATGCCTCAGAATTACTTTTAGTGATGAATGATATTTTTGTTTTTTATCAAACCTGAAACAAATTGTCGTGCCAACCTCTTAATTAAGTGTAATTTTTGTGCTCCCTATTAAACGGTATTTTAATTTTTGATTCTGCTTCCTATTTCTTGGATTTATTACACTGTAATTAGCAATCTGGTTTATATATATAATGGTTTGTGCTTGTGGATTTTAGTTAAGAGTATGCTATGTGCTTCCTAGATCATATGTATAATATTAAGATTATATCTTAATATAGTAACCACCAAGTACGTGGATGATCTTGTAAAGGGTTGTTCCAGCTTGAAGTGTTCTCGAGTTTGAGTCTTTGAGAAGTGTTAAAACTTGTTAGGGAGAGCTTTGTGCCCATGTAGTCTTACCCAACTCGAATCGGCTAATTGAGTAATCGATGAACCGATGGATAATATTCAATGAATAAATATATATATATATATATATATATATATATATATATATATATATATATCCTAGGGGTTTATCTAGATACTCTAAACTATATTAAGATATAATCTTAATATTATAAGATATCATCTACATGACAATGCAAATTGAACCACAAGCCTAATTTTTTTATTTTTTTTTAATGTGCTTCTGATTTTTTTGCAGACATACGAAGATCAAATCGTCCGTTCCTTGAGGATAAGACAGAGGATGACTTTTTTCAGATTGATGTGAGTATTATTGTTTGACTGAATTATGTCTCCCAATTAAATTTCTTTGAATGGCCACATTCTCTTTAATTTGCTGCTTTCGCTTGAATGAGGTTTGACAGAATAATCTATCTTTGATGTGGGAATGGGGTGCATTACGCATGTGCAGGTTAGGGTTTGTAGTGGAAAACCAACAACAATTGTTGCTTCTAGATTAGGATTCTACCCTGCGGGAAAACGTCTTCTTGTGAATCATACATTGGTGGGTCTCCTTCAACAGATAAGCAGGGTATTTGATGCTGTAAGTTTAAACTCATTCATGTTTCTTTACAGTTGCTGCTGTTTATAAATTAAATTTCCAAGATTCCAGACCACTTTTTCTCATTGTAGTTCTTTCTGTATTTCTTTTGATTGGAAATATAAACACCTTAACTAGTAATAATTAATGAACCATGATTGGCCAATTCTACGATCCACTATCAAGTTAGACATGGACGGTTGTGGGATTAGTTGACTTATGAAGAGCTTTAATTGGCATTTTTTTCTCACTCTTTTTATTTAATTATATTGTTTCTCATTCTTTAAGTAGAAATTATTTTTAATTAAAAAGTAAAAAAATTAAGAAAAAGTTGGATAACGTTAGTAAGATAAATAACGAAACATTGAACTAAATATCATTACATTAATTTTGACAAACATAACATTTTTTGTAACTAAAAAGTAAAAGTTAGAATTATTATTAATAACAAAAGATGAGGTAAATAAATTTAAGTGTTGTGTTTTTAAAAATAGATATACCCTTATTTGATTAAATTATAAAATTATTAGGAGAAAACTTTTAATTTGAATGAACTTGGTATATATAATGTAGAAAAACTTTTTGCAAACAATATAACATGAAAATAATACTCTATCCAAAAATATATTCCTATCTTTTTAAAAAAATAAATAAATAAATCCTTTCCTAACATTTTTTTCTTGTTTGCAAAAGATATCATCCTATTTAAAGCATGCAAAGTAGCATAATGAAATAAAGAGAGTGGAAGTAAATACAATTACTGTTTTCATAAATATTTTGTTGTATCTATATGCAATTACTTGATATTGTGTTGAGAATTGTGCTAAGAGATTAATCTTTTCTTTTATCAAAAAGTAATAATTACATAATAATCTTTCTTGCAGGCCTTCAGGGCTCTTATGAAGGCATTCACAGAACACAATAAGGTATGTTCTTCTCGTCATAAATTTTCACATTACACTGCTAATTGTACCAGACTTTTTTACAATTATAGTGGTTTCATTTCAGTTCGGCAATCTTCCTTATGGTTTTCGTGCAAACACATGGGTTGTCCCTCCAGTTGTTTCTGAGAATCCATCGGTCTTTCCCCCACTTCCCATGGAAGATGAAATTTGGGGAGGAAATGGGGGTGGACAAGGCAGCGATGGTAAACAGGAAAAGAGACAGTGGGCCAGAGATTTTGCAATTCTAGCTGCAATGCCTTGTCAAACTGCAGAAGAGAGGCAAATTCGAGATAGGAAGGCTTTTCTGCTTCATAGTTTATTCGTTGACGTATCAGTCTTCAAAGCAGTTTCTGCAATAAAGCATCTTAAAGATAGTAAGCAAAGCTCTTTAAGTAATACGGCTATTTCAACTTCCTATGAAGAAAGAACCGGAGATTTAACTATTAAGGTGACAAGAGATGTATCTGATGCAAGTATGAAGTTGGACTGCAAAAATGATGGTAATCAGGTTCTTGGATTGTCAGACGAAGAACTTGCTCAGAGAAACTTGCTTAAAGGCATAACGGCTGATGAGAGTGCAACTGTTCATGTAAGTGAAATAAGTGTTGTGAACCTATCATAATGCACAGAAGTGGTTATTGCTTTTGATACATTGTGTTTGTCTTTTGTTCTTGTAGGATACTCCTACTTTAGGTGCTGTAATTATAAGACATTGTGGCTACACAGCTGTGGTAAAGGTTTCAGCTGAGACAGATTGGGAGGGGAGTCCTAATTCCTTGGAAATCGATATTGAGGACCAGCCTGAAGGAGGAGCAAATGCATTAAATGTTAACAGGTCATTTAATCTATCACGGGCTTGATCTATTTTTGGTAATCAAGGACAATAATGAGCACCTACCCTGACTTAATTATAGAATTCGTTTATGATAAACTTTTGCACCATAAAATCATAAAATCCATGTTATAAAAAAAAAAAAAAAAAAATCATAAAATCCATACACCAATAAAGGGGGGAAAACGTGCTACCTTTGCAACTTACAATGCAATAATGTCAATCTGTTTTAAGTAACTCTTTATTTATTTATTTAATTTTTTGCGACTGGGGGAGGGTTTAATCTGTTTTTATAAGTTCCTAATACAATTTTCATTTCAAATTACCTTCAGCTTGAGGATGCTGTTGAATAAGTCATCTTCACCTCAATCATCTAACACAACTCAACGAATCCAGAGCACAGATATTGAAAATTCACATTCTGCTCGGCCTTTGGTAAGGAAAGTTCTAGAGGATAGTTTACTGAAATTGAAGGAAGAAACTGCTAGAAGTAGTAAGTCTATCAGATGGGAGCTTGGGGCATGTTGGGTACAACATCTGCAAAATCAAGCTACAGGGAAAACTGAGCCAAAAAGTGCAGAAGAAGCTAAACTTGAACCAGCTGTGAAAGGTCTTGGGAAGCAAGGTGGCTTACTGAAGGAATTGAAGAAAAAGATAGACAACAGGAACTCCAAAGTTGAACAAGGGAAGGATATTTCCACATGTAATGGCATTGACATAAACAAGCCAGATGCCACTCAACAAGAATTAGAGAGAAAAGATGAAGAGAAGGAAACTATGTGGAGAAAATTGCTTCCTGATGCTGCATATACACGCCTTAAAGAATCTAAAACTGGTCTTCATGTGAAGGTTCATCTCTACTATCTGACATGAATGATCCTTCAATGGACTCTGTTTAACATGCTTCTTCATTTTTCCTATGTCTGTATCTGTAGCATTATTCTCCAAAAGAATATGTCAAATTTCTAATTTCTAACCAGTATTGTCATAAGGTGCTCATTGGCCCAATCGATGAAATTAATTTTATGGATATTCTTTGATACAATACTTTGTTGCTTCTCCATCTTTGCAGTCACCTGGTGAATTGACGGAAATGGCACATAAATATTATGTTGATACTGCACTTCCAAAGCTGGTTAGTTTCTTAATGATGAACATGATTTTAAGCTGAGTTATTTTGGAATATGCTTTGTTATTGAGACTTCAATTTCTTAGGTGGCAGATTTTGGATCCCTTGAACTCTCACCTGTTGATGGAAGAACATTGACTGATTTCATGCATACCCGGGGCTTACAAATGTCTTCCTTAGGACGAGTGGTAATATTTTTAGAGATTTATCTATTTCTGCACCCTTACTTTACTTAAACTATCAGTTCACTTAGCTGTCTTGCTCCATAACCTTATGTAAAATATAATTCAAATGATGCTGGTAAGTTGCACCCATTTGGTGAACAGACTGGATAAAAGAAAACCAACAACTTAGGAATGGAATGGGTATTCCCAGTATATACTTTGGTAGCTATAGGAATGGAATTCCATTCTTAATTATGTGGAATCGAAGTTGATTTAAATGACATAATTGCCCTTAGTGAGAAAAAAAGAAAGTTGAACATTTTTCCTTATATATCTTACATATGTGATATGAATATACATACTCTTAGCGGTTCATATTTTTCGCAGCTTGATAGGAAACATATGCTTTGTTTCCCTGATAATAAATAAATAATGCAAATGCTATTTTGTTGCTCACAATTTTTTCATTTTTCATTTTTTAGGGAAAGCTGGTTGGTTAAATTTAATAAAGGGTAATAATTGATTCTATAAAATCAATGATGGTATATTAAGAAAATTAAATCTTACTGCACCCCCACCCCCCACCATGGAACACAGCATGAAAGATCCATGAAATAGGAATCATTTTTTTTCTGTACCGAACATGATGTTAAGGTAGCTCCATTCACATGTCACAACTGCATTTCAATCTTGCTTATCTCTCTTTCTTTCTTTTTTTTCCTGAATTGGTTCATACTATAACAACTACACTCTGTGCTCTCTTTCATACATACAATGTGTTTAAAAGTCTGTGTTGAATGTTTTTAAATGTATATAGACAACTTCACCAATGATATCTTTTATTCAAATTCTTCTACCAGGTTGAGCTTGCAGATAAACTTCCTCATGTGCAATCACTATGTATACATGAGATGGTTGTTCGAGCCTACAAGCACATCTTGCAAGCGGTTGTTGCAACAGTTGATAATGTTTCTGAGTTGGCTTCATCCATAGCATCATGCTTAAATATATTGTTGGGAACACCGTCACCTGAAACTAATGATGCAGATATTACGAGTTGTGATGAACTGAAATGGAAATGGGTAGAAATCTTCCTTCTGAAGAGGTTTGGGTGGCAATGGAAGTATGAAATTGGTCAAGATTTTAGGAAGTTCGCCATTCTTCGTGGACTGTGCCATAAGGTAAAATAAAAGACCCACTCTTTAATATACTGATATTAACCATTTTCTGCCATTGTTATTTCAATTACAAGAATCCTTTAACAGGTTGGGCTTGAGCTGGTTCCCCGGGACTATGATATGGATACAGCATCTCCTTTCAGAAAGTCAGATATCGTAAGCATGGTCCCTGTATATAAGGTGAAATACATGACAAATTGACTTCGTTATGTGGGAAATTGCCACTATTTTTCTCGAGCCCTAATGACTGAGTTACAATTTTAATTATTTTTGAAGCATGTGGCTTGCTCATCTGCTGATGGCCGAACACTGTTGGAATCATCAAAGACTTCCTTGGATAAAGGTAAATTGGAGGATGCTGTCAACTATGGCACAAAGGTATGAATAAATTCTTCAATCAAACAGTATGGTTTGTTCATGTAGCCAATAACTAAATGTACCAATATTTTGCATTGAATCTTGAAGGCACTTTCAAAATTAGTGTCGGTGTGTGGGCCTTACCATAGAATGACTGCAGGAGCATACAGTCTCTTAGCTGTTGTGCTCTATCATACTGGAGATTTCAATCAGGTATGTGTTTTAAAATCTTGAAGAGCTGTCTGTTGATTCATCACAACTGGTGATATATGCTGTGAATATTAAAGGCGCTCTGTATGCATTCTATTAGAGTCAAACTGTATTTGGTTTGAAACAGTTGAGTTCTAAGCAATAGTAAATCTGTGTACCATGAGCAACAAAATTAGAACTCCATTAAAAGAGGCATTAATTTGAAATTACCAAATTTGTTTACATGATATTTCAGTTAAATTTTCTAAAATAATACAATTTCTATTTTTCCATTTAACTTATTTATTTATCTTGACTTGGAGGATAGTTTCTCCTTCATAAATTTTTTGTTATTTACATTTATTCTATTTCCAACCCCTTGAATTGATAAAATGTCTTAGCTTAGACTTCAGTTACTTCAAGCTATTGTTGTCGTTTTCTGATTCATGATCCACAAATAGTGTCTAAGAGGTTTTGCAAAATATAGAGTTTCACTATCCACTATACCTTGCATGCATTTTTCTAGTTATTTTTGCTAAGTTTTGATTGAACATATCATTTTTTAATAATAATGTGTCAAGGTGTGACAGGATGAAAATTATTATAAGGTTGGAGTGGAGAATCCCTTGGGGATGGCATTATTTTTATAAAGTACATTTTGATAATTGCAAACATTATTTTAATCAAGTGTTGAGACTTGACATTTTATTAACTCAATAGAAAAGAAAGGCATCTGGTATTTAAGGAACTTTTTAAATAACTTAGTTGCCAAGTTAATTCCATTCAATATTATTATAATAATTTAAGTTGTGGTTTTGTTAGGCAACAATCTATCAGCAAAAGGCACTAGATATTAATGAAAGAGAGCTTGGACTGGACCATCCTGATACCATGAAAAGTTATGGGGATCTTGCCGTTTTCTATTATCGACTCCAACATACAGAATTGGCTTTAAAGTATGCTTCCATATATCCTATTCTTAATAAGTTAATATAAATTGTTTGATTGTTATACCATGGCAATGACCTTCGTGGTTCTTCATATGAGAATCTAGCATCTTCGTCCCATGAACTCTTTCTATAAAGGGCAAAGGGAAACCTGGTGCACAAGGTTCCTTGACTTGCCAGGGTGGGGATGAGGGCAAAGGCGGATCTAGGTATTAGAGAAGGGGGGCAAGTGCCCACCCTTAAAATATGATGTAAAAATATGAAAATACCCTTTTCTTAAAATTCAAAATTTTCCAATTTAATTTTGGGGTAGGATATTGTAACAACCAATTATGGTTATTATCAATGTTACTACCAATCGATTTCACCGTTAGATTAATTATATTGATCCAACGGTTATATTTATTTCCATCTTTCTATGATTATGATTCTCCATATTAATACTTTATATTTATTTTCACCGTTATAATTTTTCATATTTAATGTTTTTACATTAAATATGGGGATCATAACCATACAAAGATGAAAATAAATATAATCTTTGATCAACATAATCGATCTAACGGTAAAATTGATTGGTAGTAACATTGGTAGTAACCCTAGTTGGTTGTTACGATATCCTACCCCTTTAATTTCCCTCATTTTATTTTATTTTTCCGTGAGTTTTTTTTCTCCTCCACCTTCATTATCCAAACCTAATCGCAGAGAGCTCTATTCCAGACACATCATTTGCATCTACATATTGATTCATCTTCTCTCAAATCTCAATTTCCGTTATTAGAAGTTGAAACATTTGCTTCTTCCTCTATCATTAATCCAGTTGAGTCGCAATCCGTCCAGATCTAGATCTAAACCAAACCCAGCCAGTCGGCAGCTGCTCGCAAGTCGCGTTCAAGACCATACCCAGATCTATATGCACTTGAACTTATTGAGTGCCCACCCTTCATTAATTTTCTGGATCCGCCACTGTCATGAGGGTCAATTTTATGTAGTCTTACCCTTGATTTTTGCAAAGGGAAAACCTTCTAGTCACAAGATGCTTTACCATTGCTCCAAGGTTCTCCCTCCTATGGGACCCCTTCCATCTTTGATAATAAAAGTCTTGTAAATGCATTAGAATTAATAAGAAGATGAGGCATTGATGTTAGAATCATATAAATTATTTTAAGAGATAAAAACATATTGTTCTAAGAATATTTGTGCTTGATATTAATTTGCCATCAGCGCAATTTGATAAGATTGTTGTTTGCCTCATTCGTAGAACAAATTTTTATGTATATGATAGGACTCTCCCAAGGGTCTACTAAAGGAAGAACCACTGAGGATCTCAAACTAAGGGTGACTTAGTTAAAAGAAAGAATGGGTTGTTAGATGAGAGGTTCAGTTAGAAGAGAGAGAGGGTCAGGTGCTGAGGTGGCTGCAGGGTCAGCTTGTAGTTATAAGGGGGTGAATGAGCATGAGAAGGGCATGGGGAAATTGGAACACAATTGGGTTGGGAAACCAGAGTTGGGAGAGACTTGCACCTCTCAAAAGTGCTAGGAATTTACTTTGCTTTGATAGTTAGACTTTCTGTTTTTAGTCTCTTCAATTCTGCATTTTACTTTTCAGATTGTAATCTTGTAGTTGTCATTTTTATTTGAATCAAATATAGAAAATCCAGATTGATTTTTGGTCCAAAACACTGTGTCTCTGTGTGTTGAGCTCTGATATCTGAACCAGTCTTATCAGTATACTATCCTTATGACTAGACAATCATGTTAAATATATAATTTCATGCAAATTAGTTATATTTTCGCTTTGACTAGCCATATCATTAATAAATCTCCTGTGAGTAAAGTTACACCAATCACTTTTTTTCTTATATGTTTTTAGGTATGTCAATCGTGCATTGTATCTTTTGCACCTAACGTGTGGACCTTCACATCCAAACACTGCTGCCACCTACATTAATGTAGCAATGATGGAAGAAGGATTGGGGAATGTCCATATTGCTCTCAGATACCTTCATGAGGCTTTAAAATGTAACAAAAGATTACTTGGAGCTGATCATATACAGGTTCCCTCTCATTCCTGGCATGAAGAACCTTACATATTGCTATTGCATGGGACTTTATATTCCTAAGATGGTCTGATACAATGCTATTCACTTCAAAATTAAGATTTTTGAACCTAAGTAGCATTCTCAGATATATACAAAAAATAATTTTGGACCTGCTATGTTAACAGGACTTTTGACTAGATCATAATGGAGGAAAAGAAAATCTAGTGATGGGGGTGGTTTTATAAAACCAGCCAGGTCGCAGAATTGAACATTTGGCATTCTTTTGGTGGCTTTTATAGACTGAATCAATTAAAATGCGGTTATTACCAAAGATTAAAATTAAAACGCAACATATATTTATGGCCCAAAAGATCATAAATTTTTTTATAAAAATTTAAAATAAAAAAATTAATAATTGGCTTATATGAAATGCAATTTCATACAGTACTAGTTTGTGAGTTTGCAAACCAAAATTATTGTTGGTGCATTATGCTCTCTAAAGCACTTGCCCATGTTCAGTTTCTTCACAAATATGCATCATATCAGGGTAGTTGGCATTTTTAAGTCGTTTTATTTTTGGCTTATTTAGACGGCTGCAAGCTATCATGCAATAGCTATTGCTCTTTCTTTGATGGAAGCATACTCTCTAAGCGTTCAGCACGAGCAAACCACCCTCCAGATACTGCAGGCCAAACTTGGGTCCGATGATCTAAGGACACAGGTAGTCTTAAATTATGTTTTTTGATGGTAGATCAATATATATATATAAACAGTAATCTTTGTTCCTTAGGCACATAAATGTGAATCTATTACAGGATGCAGCTGCTTGGCTAGAGTACTTCGAGTCAAAGGCTTTGGAGCAACAGGAGGCTGCACGCAACGGTACACCTAAGCCTGATGCCTCAATCTCCAGCAAGGGTCATTTAAGGTAGTCATTACAATTAGATAACATGTTCTGCTTTTGTCAGTCCATCTTGTTCAATTGATGGCTTTTCTGCTCATTTAAACTCAAACATGTGCTACATGCAGTTTGATTCAATCATCTGTATATCAATGCTGATTCTAGACTTGGTTAGTCCGTTGCTAGCCATTTTTCCAAAAACACCAATTGCAATGTGTTTAAACTTCCTGTTGAGTCAGCGTGTAAATTTTTTAGTATAAAATCTGAATCTAAAACCTAAATCCTAAACAGCATGTAAACTTCCTCTGGCTCTCTGCAAGCCAAAGCTAAATGTCAAAGCAAAACCGTTTGTTGATCATCTTAAAATATTAGAGATATATAAAAACCATTAATGTAGCCTCGCCCACAAGCTTAAACTTTTGAGTTGTATTGGTTCTTTAGATGATATCAGAGCCTTTGTATTATGGGTTCGATCCTCACCGGCTCCCACTTTCTCTTGTGGAATTTCTTAACATAGGTAGGTGTTGTGTATTGTCCACTCTTTAAGCTTAATGAACTCTAGTGTGAGGGGATATGTTAAAGATATATAAAATCTATTAATGTAGTCTCACCCACAAGTTTAAACTTTTGAGTTGAATTGGTTCTTTACAACCCAGGAATGGTTTTATATCTCTAGCTGAAAAGTTTAACCACTGGTTAAATCTGAAGTTCTGCAAGACTTGTGTTTTAATTAAATTTATCTAATTTCGTTTTTTTAAGTTCCTTTCACATTTTATGACAATAAAAATGCTCGGTATCAGTGTGTCAGACCTCTTGGATTACATAACACCAGATGCTGATTTCAAAGCAAGAGAAGCACAAAAAAAGGCCCGAGCCAAGGTATTCGTAGCTTCTTTTATCCAGGATATACTTGGGAATACTCACGTACATATCTTCATTACTTAATACTTACACTATTCTTGTCCTATCTTTTATTCAAAGAAACTAAATTATCATCCATCGTACAGTTCAAGGGAAAACCAGGCCAAAACTGGGAAACAGCTTCAGATGAAAATCACAAGGATGAAGACATGTCTCAAGGTTATGCAATTACAGAGACTATAAGTGATAAAGAAAATAAAGCTGAAGCTCAATTTGAAGAACACAATATTGGTAAAGTGGAGTCCACTCACTTGGACCAGACAATGCTCAAGGAAAGTAATAACCTGGCACAGGATGACAACTCAGATGAAGGATGGCAGGAAGCTGTTCCTAAAGGTCGCTCACTCACTGGGCGCAAGTCATCTTCATCAAGGAGGCCTACCCTATCAAAACTGAATACCAGCTTCATGAATGTTTCCCAGTCATCAAGACATCGAGGCAAGCCCACAAATTTTTCTTCTCCAAGAACAAATTTAAATGAGACTATTGCTGGGCCCTCCCTTCCTGGTCCAAAAAAGTTTGTTAAGAGTGCTAGTTTCAGTCCTAAGCTGAATAGCTCTAGCGCCCCAGCTGCTGTAGCAGAGAAGTTAGCAGACTCAAAGTCAGCTCCAGCCAGCCCAGCTCCAAGCGATCAAATTGCTAAACCAGTTCATGCTAGTTGTGGCATTAGTGTCCAGGCAGCAGGTAAACTTTTCTCTTACAAAGAAGTTGCCTTAGCCCCACCCGGGACAATTGTGAAGGCTGTGGCTGAACAGTCACCAAAAGGAAATCCTATTGTTCAAGAAAATCCTGAGGTGAGTTCCATGGTAGTTGCAACAAAGGAGACTCATTGTAATGCGGCAACAACAAACGATGTGCAAGATGATGTTCAGAAACCAATTGATGAGAAACGGCAAAGCACTGTACACAAAGAACAAAAAGAAAAGGATACTGCTGTGGTGACAAATAATGCAGAAACAGTAAAAAGTAATGAGGACAGTCATGAGGATGTCGAAGTTAAACCCCAGGAAGCAAACAGTGATGCTGTAATAGAGAAGAAATTTGAAGCTGGAAACATCAAATGCATGGAGGTTGAGAATTCTGGTTGTTTAGAGAATATAAGCAACAGTGCCTCTAAAGCTGCATCAGAGATAGAAGTTCAAGAAAGTTGCCAAGCAACTTCCCATGATTTAAATCCACTAACCGTTTTAGATGAAGATGGAAAACAATTACCTGACAATGATACAGAGAAGGTTACTGAGGGAGATGAGAAACAACATGAATTACCAAGTGGTGATACAGTTAGTCAGCCACTACCATCTGAAGGAGAAAAGCAAGAAGAAACAGAAACAGGAAAGGAACCTACCAAGAAACTTTCTGCAGCTGCACCACCATTTAATCCATCCACAGTTCCAGTTTTTGGTTCAGTTCCAGTTCCAGGTTTCAAAGATCATGGAGGTATTTTGCCCCCACCAGTAAATATTTCTCCTATGCTTGCAGTCAATCCCAGAAGATCTCCTCATCAGTCAGCAACAGCTAGGGTTCCATATGGTCCGCGAATATCTGGTGGCTATAATAGATATGGGAATCGTGTTCCCCGGAATAAAACTGTATTCCACTCAGGTGAACACTCCACTGATGGTAACCCCAACAGCCCTCCTAGAATAATGAACCCACATGCCACAGAGTTTGTACCTGGCCAGCCTTGGGTTCCCAATGGCTATCCTGTGCCTCCTAATGGATATATGGCTTCCCCAAATGGCATTCCGGTATCTCCTACTAGTTTCCCCCCCTTGTCTCCCAATGGTATTCCACTGTCACCCAGTGGATATCCTGCTTCACTAAATGGTATTCCAGTGAATCACAATGGATTTGAAACATCTCCAACCAGTTCAACTGATTCAGCACAAGTTGTATCTGTTGAAACCAATCTTGATAACAAAAATCAAGTTCTGGATGAGGAAAATAAACATGCTTTCTCAACAGAAGTCAGCAGTGAAAAGCAGCACGTTGAGCAAAATCCTCAAGAAGACCTATCTGCAAGCAATGAAAATTGTTATCCTAAAGTAGAAGAAAAGCCTGAAGACCCCAGCCCCCCAGCTGGTTGTTGTCAAGAAGAAAACCTAGCCAACAAGGACACAGTAGATGAGGAAAAGCCAAGCAAGTGTTGGGGAGATTACAGTGACAATGAAGCTGATTTGGTTGAGGTCACAAGTTAAGCAATGACAAGCTTTTCTTAGTAAAAAGAAAATAAAAATAAAAAGCAAATGCTTTTATTGCAAGGGTTTCATATCATCAAGATACCAAAACGTGATGCCAGGGATATTGACTGGACTGAGGAGTTCTGACCTGAATTTCCATGGTAGAACTGATTACTTACAAGGAAATGTGAAAGTCTCGTACTTCTAGGTAGGCACTTGTCTATACTGATTGAGGGGGTTCAAGTTTTTAGCCTATTTAGGAAAGGTCACCATGACCATGGAAGGCTTTGTTGAGAAGCTATTTGTCTTAAATTGTTTTAATCTTTACCTGCTATATTTTTTTCCTGGTTAAAAATGGAGTTGTAGCTTTGAGGTCATAATACTCTGACGGCTGAGGACTAGGTTGCACAAAAATAAGGTCTCATTTTTCAGGCCTTTGTTTGGTTTTCCAATTTGTAGAAGCAGCCTTTTTGTCTTTATGAATTTGTTCATATTTCTATTTTTAAATGGTATCTTCCATATGATGAATAACAATGTTCAGCAATAAAAATGCCGGACTTGATAAACAGTATTTTGAGAGAGAAGGAAAGGCATGTGTGTACATTGTGCCCCAAAATATCCCAATTTTCGTTTACATTGATAATAGCAATCTTGTAAATAAGTGCCATGTGAATTTCAAATCATATGTCTTGCTGATTCCTCAAACAATTGTAACCTATTTTTTCCCCTCGTTAAAGAATATTATTTGATTAATAAAATTGTCTGAATTAAATCTGAATTGTTAAAGCACATTGTTATTGCTAATCCCCGCTGAAAAGGAGTTAAAAGACCTTCTTTTCTTTTCTTTTTTAAGTAGAGTGAAAGAGTAAGTATAACTGCATATTATATCAGCCTGCATCTAGTATAACAGAATAATCAATATACACATGAACTAGTGGCTACTCATTAAATTAGCTAGCCATTTCTTCTAAGAGTGATAATGCAATTCATAAAACAGGAGCAACCAACGAAATATGGTGCTGACTGCCGATTTTGTTTCCAACAGTTTAATGGTAAGCTGCGTAAGCATTGGCTAAAATGCACAGGTCGGAGATTCTCGTCGAAAATCCATTATCACTAGTGTGGCAACACTATGTGCAAGCGCCCCAAGAACAACAAAAACATGAAAAATCTGATGGCTATGCCCTGCAATGTCAAATGCTCCAGGCTTCCATCTCTCTGGTATTCTAGTAATATAAAATACAGCTCCTGTAGCATATAGAATGGCCATTACAAGTTCATATCCGAGTGCAACAAGAATATGAGGGTGACCCCAATGGAGAACAAGAGCATGAACTGCAGGAATTACACCTGAAAAGCCCATGGAGAGGAATAAATATGCTCGGAATGGTCGAAAGCGAGGTGAAGAAAGTGAAGGAGCAAGAAGGGTAATGATGGCCATGACTCCAAGCACAGATATTGATGTCAAATATAATAACCTTACGTAAGGATTGCAGAAAAAGATATAGTAAATTGGAGCAAAGAAGGAGCATACTATCATAAGAGAAATTCCAGCATAATCTAGACGCCAAAAAAAGAGGTTAAAAGGTTTGGAGTGGCAGGCTAGTAGATGGGAAATAGAACTGCAAGCCAAGCAGCCCATTCCTCCAGCTAAGAAAACGAACCATGGCCATCTTGGAATTGTTTCTGCACCATATTCTCTTAGTTCATTAGATATGATTGGTTCAAGAATGTGTCTCAACTGTGACCCCTGAAAATAAAAATTAAAAGTCAACAACGGATTGAATTAATAGTTAATTTCTGTAGTTATTACATCTTCAGAGCTCCCATAATACATCACCAGTGAGTATATGGTGCAGTACATAGACATTTTTTTTTAAAAATTCAAGTAAAATATAAAAAAAAAGAAAACGTTTTAAATTATAAAAAATAATGCATAATTAATTCAATTAAAATAAACAAAATTAAAATTATAAAGAAGTGTGCATAATTAATTTAAAAGAGTTTAAATTTAAAAAAATAAATAAATTAAGAGAACGACCTGCTTCAGTTCTTTTGTCTTTTTCTTTTTCTTTTTTTGAGTAAACTGCTTCAGTTCTTTAAAAGAGAATACACTGAGTGATTTAATCATTCTCAAAAGTCAAAACGCACTCTAAAGAATTTAATTTAAACACTTTGTTTGTGAAAAAAGAAAAAAGATTTTACTCATCCAATGACATGCATCACATTATTTCTCAGTGCACAATAAATTGTTTGCAAACTCATTAAATGACTGTAAATTTTATTTATGATAACAGCGCATTAAAATTAAACTCATTTCTAAAAATTTTAAATGAAAAAATAAAAACTTAAATGTCCAATAACAATAAGTAATCCCTCCTAAAAATATTTTCTTTAATTTTTAAATTGAATAAAAATTATAGGTAAATCTTAATTAACATGTTCAAAAGTTTTCTACATGTAACCCTAAAAAAATGGAGACTTTCATTTCATCCTTATTATAAGCAAAACAACCTAAGTAGAAGTGGCGAACACAACAGAAGCCTACTGGCACCAGGCTTCCATAGAACAGTTGTCAAATTAGTATTTATTTTCTTTTATTATTCCCGTCGACTAACTTATAGAAAGGAGAAATTCAGCTTACCCAAAAAAAAAAGGAGAAATTCAACTATCCCATTGCTATTCCAATCCAAATATTATATGAGGATTGTTTCTTTTTGGTTACCGATATTATATGAGTTTTGTTACAACATATAAGAGTTGATAATAAAATATTTAAATAAAATTTTGAATCTTATAATTTTTACTTATTTAAGTTTTGGTTTTTATTATTAACTTTTTTAGTATCAGTTTATATATTTTCACTTATTTTTAATATATTAATCTTTATATTTTTCAATCATTTAAGTTTTAGTTTTAATAACTTTTTTCCTATCAGAATATTAATCTCTATTTTTCATCAAGGGCTAATTCTTATAATTTCCGTTTTTTTTAAAAAAAATTGCCCATGATGGACCAAATTTGAATAAGTGAAAAATACAAAAAATCAATATTTCCAAAAAATATATTATAAGGACAAAAAATTTAATTATGTAAAAATATAAAGATTAAAATTTTATTTAAACCATAATAATATGTACACATACGAACATATTTATTGAGTTTTATAATATAAGAGATTCTTGCGCTACTTTTTATATTTATAAAGGTAGTATCATTAATAATTATTATATTCCTATGCTTTTCTTATTTATTCAATTTAAATATAAAATAAGTAAATCAGGTGCAAAAAAATATATATTTAATAACTAATAAAGTATACAATATTATGGAGAGAAAAAAAAAACAAGAGTGCATCCATCCTAATGAATATTCCATGCAGTGTACGGTATCACAAAATCAGTTTTAACTTTAAAAATTAATTAAATATACATTTAAAATAAATGTATTTAATGGTTTAAATATAACCTTACGAATATTTTGTCCTAACCCTTAAAAAAAATATTCCCTTTAAGAGGATAAATTAAAGAATGTAATAGTTAATAAAAAATGGAAAGTAGAGCAAGGATCATATAGGAATAAAATATGGGTTTTATAATTCTCATTCAACATGAGAATTGAAATTTTTCTACACACCCTTTAATTTCTTTAATTTCCATGCTGACATAGGTCCTACATATAATTTTTCTAACACATGAATCTCACATGCTTTTTATCTCTGCAACATAAAATTTTAATTCTTTTTTTTTTGTATATCTATAAGATTTCAATTCTCATTCAACACGAGAATTATAAAACCCATAAAATATTCCCTTGATTTGTAATTCTCGTAGGTATTCTTAAACTGAGTTGTGTGTGAGACTTTTAGCTCCTCTTTATTTAAAAAAAATAAAATAAGCTGGCCCACTTATCATAAAGGCCTTGGATTTCACTGGCGCCATTAGAAACCCCATTTCACTACGTCACTCGCAATTTTCAAAAACATAATCATATATAATAATAATTAAAAAATTAAAAAAAAAAATTAACAAACCGGGAATCCGTTGGTGTCAGACTCAGAACCGTTGATCTCTATCCCCATCGCTGGTGCTCTGGTCCCACCCACCACACACGAACGAAATGAAACAACATTAGACCATTCTTCTCTCCACCAAAAAACATCTTTTATGTTATTACCATAAAACCACCACAACAAACATCAAAATGACCCCTAAGTCCTCACAAACTCCAAAATCATCAATCAAACAACAATACCTGTAGATGTTTGAGAGCAAACCTCCGAGCTCAGTCATTGTCTTCGTCGCCGCCGGGAAGCTCACCACCGTCATCGCCGCAAATATCAGAAATCCTCCCAAATGCCTGCACCAAAAACATCATCGTACACACAAAAAAAAAAAAAAAATCAAACACCGTTACAACACATCAAGAACATTTTGTTCGCACGAAGTGTTACACAGAAATCGCTCACGTCCAAACGTTTAGGGTTTCGTTGTGCCAAGCGAAGACGCTCCACAAGGCGTCTTTCACCGACCATTCGGACCGGTAATGGTCCAAGATGAACTCGTTGTCTTGCAAATACTCTGGTAACTCCTCAAACTTCAACAATCGCCTTTCGAATCTCTTTTCCTTCATCGTTGTTCTGCCTTCGCCCTTGTTTCTGTTACCGTTCTTGTTGCCTCTCCGGCGGTGACTGTTCATCTTCACGATCGTACAAGCTCGCCGGAAAATCTCCTCTTGTTTCGTTTTCCGGCGAGAAATTCACCGGCGGCTCTTTGTTTTCTACCAGATCTCCGCTCGCACCTTTATCCCTTTTCTCGGTCCTTCTATTTATATACTCAACCAACCATGCCATGTGAAGTGTGAAACAATTTTATTTTTTTTTGAGAGAGAAAATAAAAATAAAAATAAAAAGATTGATTGTAGTAATAGAATTGTGGTGAAATTGGTTTCGTGGCAGGGATCGATTGGGTTTTGAAGAAGCCAAGTTAGAAGTGAGAACTAAGATAATAGGAGATAATAGGAAATTTTAAATATTTTTATTTTATTTTATTTTTATTGTTGGAGCTTGAAGCCAGATCTAGTGACTCATTTTGGTTTTAAACTAAGGAGTGAGAAATCGCATTTTCCGTTATGGTGAAAATGAGGTTTTTGTGAACAAAGAAAATGTGAAAAACGAAAGTCATAAGAGTTGGGCTTGAGAAGCATGATTAGTGGTCAATAAGTTATTAGTCATGCATAATCATCTGTTATACCACCCCACACAAAACAAATCCGCTTGATGTTTTAAATTTTGTTGCATTTCGTTTCTCATACGAAAACATATGATGTAGCCGTGAGTAACTGAAATATATAGATATATTTGCAAGAGATACATTATTTATATAACCATACTCATTTATAAAAATTATTTTTATGCTTATACACATGATGAAGTTTAAAGTACAATAAAAATATGATAAAGTTTATATATACAACCTATTTTCATTTACAACATCTTACAATCATATTTTAATCGTTGATTTTCGTCAATCAACGATTATCATTTATTGCGAATTAACAATTAATTAATGAGTTTGATTTGCGAAAATAATAATCGTTGATTAACGTAAATCAACGATTAAGATATGGTTATAAAATGTTATAAACAAAAAAAAGTTGTAAGTACAAAAAAAGAAGGAAAAAAAATTTTCCTGCAAATAGATGATTGTGCTGCAAATTTTATTTAAATATGATCAGCATTACCAAGGTTTAAAAAATTGAGAATGCTATTCTCCAAAAAAAATTAAAAAAAAATTGAGAATGTTGTATAAGTCGAATCGTAGTCCTATGTTATCTGTAAGGTGGTGTTTGGTTGGCCATAATACCCTCATGTAAAAAGAAACTGCATATGATTATGGCCAGCAAATGGTTATGGCCAGCAAATACAGAAACTGCAAAAACTTCTGTAAAAAGAAAACAAGAAACAATAAACATTCTATAAAAATTAATAAGGCCCCAAGTACATATGATTATGGCCAGCAAATACAAATAAGTTTGAAACTTGAAAATTCACCCAGAAACGACAACAATTACAGAGTTTATTCACCAAATGAGGTTCTGCAAATCAACATGGAAATTGGAAACCCTAACTTACAACAATGATTATAGCCCTAAGAAATTATTAGGAGTCGACGACAAATTGATTCACAAATCTTCAAATTTCATAGTTTTCTTGCAGGTGATTTTCTCCACCACCGAGAGTTGCAGAGACAGAACGAGAAAGAGAGGAAGGAGAGCGTGAGTGCGTTTCACAAATAATAAGAGTTCCTAGCATCTTCAAAGTAGATCGAACGGCTCGTTTTGGTTTAGACCAAACACCTTTCACTTTTATTATGGGGTTATATTTGTAATTATATCCCTTTTACCCATCAATATTTTATCCTCAACCAAACATAGATTTTTAAATTTTTTTATCAATTTGTCTGGTAATATTTGGCCCAACCAAACAACTTTTTTTTAACTTTCCTACCTAACTCACTTTCCAACCATTTCCCTATCAATTATATTTCCCTAGTATTCAAAAAAATTCTCCTCAACCAAACGCCCCCTAAGAGAATCTAAAAACATTGGGTGCTTGCTACACTCAGAGGCAAATTTAGGGGGGCTGGGGTGGCAGCCGCCTCCCAAAAAAAATTTGAAGGAAAAAAATTTATATAAAAAATGATATTTTGATAAATATTATAAACTGAGTGAAAATGTCTCAAGAATTGAACTTAAACCTGGCTAAAAGTTCTCTTTGTTGTACAATAAAATGATCTAAGTTGTCTTCTCATCTTGTAGTCAGAAAATGGAAAATATTCAAGACTTGTGGTAAAGCAGGATTCCTAAATTTTCTTTTATGATTATATTAAATATCTGGTGTTCATATTGCTTCTTCTGTCTGTATTAGTTGGAGATGCAAACCCTTGCTTCCTATTTTAAGTTAACTTTCATTTATTTGGATTGTTATTTGTTAACCATTTAAGATGCGATAATTTCATGAAGATTTGCACTTTCTAACTTATATCAGTATAAAAATATTTATTCAATTGATCTGTACAACAAAGTCTTCATAGATAATGATGGCTATTTTGTTTGGGGGATAGTTTTAAATTGATGTTGATGTTAAGTGGCCCTAATATTTAATATTGATGTTAAGAGGACTCAAACTTGTTGTTGTATGAATACATGCCAAATGGGAGCTTGGGAGAGTGAGTGCATGGTCTAAAGAAATTTACGGAGTATATATGTTCGTTATAACATCTTTTTGTTTTTTTAATGCATTTTAAACTTTTTTAAAATGTGTCAACATAAATAATATTTTTTATGTCCACCCCTCCCATGTAAAATCCCAGTTCCGCCACTGGCTACACTAGTATAGTTTAAGTTATACTTGTATAAATTATGCGATTCTGCTTCATGAATTAAATGGTGGCACATGTTTAAATGTAAATGTGAACCAGGTAAGCAATAGACTTATAATAAACCACACTTGTATAATGAAAAATGGGAATCAACTATAATTAATAAAAAGAATTGAGAAAATGAGAGTAATTCATTTTTCAGTAAAAGATGTAATTACTGTAAGTTTTGCGATAAAAATACAGTAATGTAAAAGTACCATGAACTTTGATATAAATTAGTGATAATTTATCAGAATTAAAAGTTAATCACATGTTTCAATAATGTTCTATCTATGTGACAGAGATGTCTAGCCAAGGGCTAGTAGATTAATATAGGATTTTGTGCTCTCTCTATGTACCTATGAATTAGATACCTTGGGGTAGCAAATCACCGTACACAATTGTAAGGCCTTAGCCAAAGGGAGTGGTGTGTGTGCATAGCGATTACATAATAATAATAGAGAGAGATCAGTCCATAGATATGATTTTTACCTCCTATTTATAGTGTTTACCTTAGAGTTTAAGCTATTTGGGCCCCTTTCTTCCAGGCCCAATCCTCTTTTTGCACATCATTCAATTATCCGCCCTTTATTGGGCCTTTCAGGTACATGGGCCTTATGTGGGTCTATAACAGTTGCCCCTAGCACGGTAGATTGGTTGTCCAGGCTAACAGGGTGCAACAACAGTTATTCCCACCTTCAGGGAAATTGAGTTGCCCCCCAGCATGGTAGACTGGTTGTCCAGGCTACCAGGGTGTAACAACTTTCTTCAGGTCTTTACCCCAGATTTTTATCCTGGGTCTTCCTTGAATTTATGTCTCTCTCTCACAGAAAGTGTCTCCTTTAAATATTTTCTTCGAGCACTTACTGTATCTCCCCCTCCTCTAAGGGCTTCATTTATCACATTACATTCAAATTCTGGTTCTACAAATTCATCATTATCCTCAACCGGTTTCTTACCCGGCTTTCTTCTTTTGGCTTCTTTTCTTTAGCCGGACTCCGGTTACGACCCTTTCTCTTTTTGTTGTTTCTCCATCCTTGTGTCTTAATTAGATACTGGCGTAATTTGCCATCTCTAATATACTTTTCAATTGCATCCCTTAAATCCCAGCATTCATCGGTGGTATGGCCTGGTCCACCATGGAAAGCATAGTTCTTGTCTGGTCTAGACTACCTTTATTCATCAAAGGCCGAGGTCTTTCTACCTTTTTCATCTCGGTTGAAGCTATCTCTCTCAATATTTGGGATCTCGACAAGTTGAGTGGAGCATATTTCTCATATATTCCTCTCGGAGGAGGTCTTTCCTCATTTTTTTTACCTCAAAAATCACTTTGTGTCCTGTTTTCAGGTCTCTTCATTCTGTTTGGGCTTCTTCTCTGATCAGCATTCCCTATTTCCATTTGTTCTAACTCAAGGTACTTCTTTGACCAAGCTGTGAACTCCACCAACGTCCTAACCGGGTCTTTATTAATGGATTTTGCTAGTCTAGATGATCCATGTAACCCGGCTACTACTAGGTGCATATGAACGTTTTTTGACAATCCCGGGACCTGTAACGCTACTTCTTTAAAGCGGTCCAGGTATTTCTTCAGGGATTCACCGAGTTGCTATCTTATTTTTCCCAAGGCAAATTCTGACTTTGGCTGTTTTTTACTGGTAGCGAAGTCTACAAAAACCTCCCACCAAATTTCTTAAAAGACTTGATTGATCCTATCGGCAACGAAGAGAACCACATCTGAGCTACCCCCGTCAAAGTTGTTGCAAATAGCCGTGTAATCAACAGTTCCTCTACACCCTTGATATCATGGTTGTATCGAAAGTATCCAAATGGACTTGAGAGTCCTGACTTTCATCATACTTTGGTAATTCAAATAAGTTAAGGTTCTCTAGAAAGGGTACATCAACAATTCCATCCACAAAGGGGCTATCATTGTATTGTCCTCTGTGATATTTCCTCCTGTATACTCCTGACACATCATCTGGGTTCCTTGATTGCCTTACTTGATCATATGACCAAATATTTTCAGCTCTTCTATGCACTTCAATGTCATTTTCTCGGATGTTGCCTCTATTATTTCTGACCTCCAGATTATTTCTCCTTTCACGTAAGTCGGGTTGTTCACTCTGAGTTGCTTCGTTCATTGTACCTTCAGGTTTCCCATCCCGGCTGCGACTCACGTTATCTACCCTCCTTCGATTTTCTTCACCAACATATCTTACTGGAACGAGGTCGCTTCTTCCCTGGTCATTCCTTTGCTCAGCATCACCTTAACGAGGGCTTGATATCCTTAAATCATTCATGACATGTTCCTGGTCTGCCATAGTCTAGCTTCCCTCCTCACTAGACCAACCTTTTATTGGTTCAATACCTTTACCCCACATTTCATCAACTCATTTAGGCAGTTTTCC